AGAGAGAGAGAGTAAAACGAGAGAGGCGACAGAGCGACGATCGATCGTTAATAGCGATGGGTATGAAGCAGGGTGTGGCACTGGAAAACAGCACAAGTACTTCGCAACAGGATCTTCAGAGCTATCCACAGCAACCGGCGCCGACGGCGACGTCTCACAGCCCGACTGCTGGCCATTACATTTATCAACAACCGCACAGTCCTGTATCGCAAAGTCCAGTTAGTATATGCCAACCGACTCGGTCGAAGTCGGATGTTCCGAAAATTCTTAATGCGTGAACAATATTTATTATCATTGTTATTATTATTGTTATATGAGTATTTACTGTTAAATGCATATTTATAAATTTCTTTTAAATATACTTAATTTATTTTCGCATATAGCTTGACATTCAATCAGCTGTATTGAATAGATAAAATACACACTTCTCGAAAAAATTATCGATCAAGGAATAGAAAGTATTAATTCATATAACTCTAATATTATTATATAAATTATATGATTGTTATTAATTATTACATACTATATAATTACTAACTGGTAATTATTTATTATATTTTATCAATATTTGACATTCAGAAAACGTCACAGCATCAGCAACAGCAACATCAGCAATCGCAGCTCAATTCGTTAGGATCGTATAGATCCACGCAGTCGGTGAATAGACCGTCGCCGCAATCGTCACCTAGTCTAACCGTTCAAGTGAGATCATCTCTTATCTTATAAAATATTAGTATACAACAAGTGTTTAATAATGCTCTATTATCATAGCCTTATATCATAGAGATATAATATTATTGTTAAAATAATTTAAATGGTAACGTTATATAGAGTCATCGTTTATATAATAATCTAATAATAATAAGTGCAGCAAAAGATTTATAACGTGAAAAAAGTTCTCGTGTCTGTAATAATAGTTTCGTGCAACTAACGAGTTTGAAAGTAGTGCGCATTCCTTTTTCAGGGAAGTCCCTTAAGTTATAGCAATAATCCATCGGCGCCGCCTAGTCCTACAGGACATCCGGGTCCACCCAACTTGACGTCCGATCCTATCGATCAGAATACTTATTTCATCAATCAGGCGCAAGCGGCGGCCCTCCAACAGGATTTCGAACAGTTTACAATGGTATGTAAGCTTTTTAATCATGACTGGAAAAGAGGCTGACTTATGCGTTTGAATTCGCGAAGAGTATCGCGGGCGGACATATTTCCAGAAAAGAGCACTTAAATTTTGACGTTAAACCGGTCGATCTGAAGTTCCAAAGTTTAGTAAAATTAAAATATTGGCTTGCTCGACGGTTCATTCAAGTGAAGAAAAGTAAAAGTTTTCCAAACTGTCGGAAATATTCGATTGGCAATGGTCCAGTCATACGTTTGGCATTCTTATTTTTTTTTTTTTTTTAATCAAAGCTCTATCTTTGGACAAGACGAAATTCAATATATAATTTCTACCTCTTGGGACAGGCAGCCCGTAAATGATAATTCCGAAATGCGCAAAATCCGTGAATCCGCACTGCTGTTAGACCTTGTTAATCCGCCTTTCCAGAACATGATATGTACATGTTAAATGTTTTACGCGATATATTTCAACATATAATTGCATACGGGTTTTCATAGAGAGAAAGGAGAGAGAGAGAGAGAGAGAGAGAGAGAGAGAGAGAGAGAGAGAGTGTTTCGCATGCTATTACTTGTACATAATAGGTATACACGCGCATGACCGTAACATCAGAAATATTCGCGCGTTTAATTTCATTGTTCCCGGAAGGTAATTGATATTTTCAAACGAGAGATCGCCGTAATTAATTTTTTTCATTGCGTTGCGTTTGTTCGCGCAATGAGATACGGACACTAAAAATATAGTTCTTTAAATACGAAGCGCCACTATGATCTGAATGTTAAGATGTTGAATTATTATATATTCATATAAATGAATTAATTTCAGAAATGATAATTGCCGATATGATTGTCGGACTTTCAACGCAATCAATCTGAAATATTAATAATATTAATAATAAATTTCTTATAATTAATCTTAAAAAACTGTAATAAATTTATTGCGAAAAATATTGTCTCGGCCGGGAGTCGATCTCTTGCATTCCATACAATATTTTTCGCAATAAGTTTATTACAGTTTTTTTAAGAGTAATTTAGGAAATTTGGGGGGATTATTAATATTTCAGATTGATTGCGTTGAAAGTCCGATAACAATATCGGCACGCAATTATCATTTCTAAAATTAATTCATTTATATGAATATATATAATAGTTCAACATCTTAACATTCAGATCATAGTGGCGCTTCGTATTTAAAGTAATGTATTTAATATAAACGATCTTGTTTCCAATTTTATAGTTCTTTAATTCCGATCTGAATTCAATCAATCTGATAGTTATGATTATTTGATTATCTGACAATTATTATGTATAACTACAACCAATCCATCAATTATAATTAATTAAGGGATATTCCGATCCTAATTGGCGCTCAATCTTTTTTTATGCATGTCGAAGGGACTGGTAAGTATTGGCCGCTGAATTGCTCGTATCTAATGAATAGTAAAGGTTAAAAATAAACAACGAGATTAACAAGTCAAAATTTTGATGAGACGCAAATTACAAAATAGTTCTATTTTAATTTAATTAGCCTTACAATTTTTAAGTTTAGCCTTAGAATTCTTCATTTGGATACTTTGATCATTAGTGTTGTAGTTTTTGTGCATATATGGATACTCATTTTTTACAAGCAAGCTGATTGGTTTTGCGAATTTCAATATATATAATATGCATTACTCTTCAGGCGATTTGACCTTCAAAGCTATAATTAATGCTATGCGATGAATTATTCCAAGCGAATGATTCGTAATGAATTATTCTGTCGGAATCACTTGATATTCTACTCAGTTACATCGTCAAACATTCCGTTCTTCAAAGGCTTCAAATTATGATTTTCTTGATGTTTTTTTTGAATGCATTTAATATGAAATTATAATGATATTATTAGTTTACAATTGCATAAAAAAATATATTTTTTTTGTAAAAGTTAGCCTTATAATAATAGCCGGTAAAAAAACGGCTGTATAATTATATTTGATTATATTGCCTCTAGACTTATAGTCTTAAGTCTTGTTGTTTATCTGTTGCCTGCATTCGTCAGGAGTGGCCCAAATTTGCGCAGCAGCTGATGGAACTCGGTTGCACCTGGACCACGCAGATAGAGGTGAAATATCGCCATTAGTTGAAACATTTTTATTTGCAATTTCAGTACTGAGAGTCCAACGTTGTATCGTCGTACACGTTTTACAAGGCCTGCAAAAAGTATTTTTTTGAAAATTAATGTATATTACATTATATAT